TGTCATCAGGTAAAAGCGGCTAACCCACACAAGTATGGAAAATGGCAATAAAATGTTGATGATTACCATAAACAAACTCTCCCCTACTACAGATACTTTCCACCTATAATTCTTAATGTAAACACCAGATAAACAATATATATATATATATATATATATATATATATATATATATATATATATATATATATATATATATATATATATATATATATATATATATATATATATTACTGTATATAGTTAGTTCTTTGTGCATGACAAGCAGTCCTTCATAAATTATAAGCCAATCTTATTGAGCTATTTATATTCACAGCACAGCCAACACAAGCCACATCATATCAACAAATTCAGGATGACTCAAGACATTTATAACACACACTGAGTGTTACCTGCGCAGTATCAGTTCGTCAGAGGAATTGTCTGTTGAGAGAAACAAAAAAAAACAGAAAAAAGCATGATGTTTCAAAGAAAAACTGACATCACTGGTTAATCACTGGTTATTACTATACTGTACACCGAACTTTCCTACACACACACACACACACTATATATATATATATATATATATATATATATATATATATATATATATATATATATATATATATATATATATATATATATATATATACTATATATATATATATATATATATATATATATATATATATATATATATATATATATATATATATATATGTATATATATATATATATATATATATATATATATATATATATATATATATATATATATATATACACAGTATATATATATATACAGTATATGTATATATATATATATATATATATATATATATATATATATATATATATATATATATATATATATATATATATATATATATATATACACACACACACATACTGTATATATACACCCTGCTTAACGTGAACAATTGAACCCACAGGGTACCGTGTTAAGTGAAAACCGCGTTAAGTGAACAACAGAACATATGGGATTAATTCCAATAGAGACTGGCTGGACCCCCAAACTCTACTTTTTCCGACACAATACCTATGTTCTAGTAAAAATAACATCTTAATTTTATGATGGTACATGCACACAATTAATACTTAAGAGAAATAGAGAAATACAGTCGCCAAGTTAATGTCCATTCAAATAATGGACTCAACTCCCTCCCCCTCTCACACTACACTGCTGGCTCTTCCCTCTCTGAGAAATTTTTGGGGGAAAACCACTAAATTTTAATAAATAATACCTCAAACTAAAGTTAGGATAATATAATTGACATTGCTGGATTCCTTGTAAGACCAGGAATATTTTGAATATAAATGTCATATATTTTGCACAAAAGATAACATATTTACTCAGAGTAAACATTATATCTAAAATTTGTATGTCTAATGCAAAATCTATGATGTTTATATTCAAAATGATCATCATATTGTAAGAATTCCAGCAATGTAAATTATATTCTGGCAGGGTAATTTGTATGAATTTTATGAGCTAAAACAGGCAGGCAGGCAGGCAGGCGGGTGGGGTGAATCTAAAAATAGCGTCTGGAGCCGGACACTCTGCGCTATATGTGGAAAAAAAACCTGTCTTAAGTGAAAATTCGGCTCTGGCTTGAGGCACCGCGTATACGTGAATATACGTGAAATCGCGCTAAGTGAAACCGCGTTAAGCGGGGTATTACTGTATATATGTATACAGTATATGTATATATATATATATGTATGTATGTATATGTGTATGTATGTATGTATATGTGTATGTATGTATGTATATGTATGTATGTATATATATGTATATATATATATATATATATATATATATATATATATATATATATATATATATATATATATATATATATATATATATATATATATATGCATGCATGCATGCATGCATGCATGTATGTATGCATGCATATATATATATATATATGTCACCCCGTCTGGTCCCCGAGGAGAGGCACCAGACTGGTGACTGCTCTATGGAACCTCAGTTACCCAGAAAGATTAGAACGCCTGCAAATACCTAACTTATACTACAGACGGGTGAGGGGCGACCAAATTCAAGAGTATAAACATCTCGGGGGCACTACTCGGTCGAATGTACATATCTGGAGCTGTCAGACGTCTGTCCCACAAGGGGTCACAGCTCAAGGATTAAATAAGCCATAAGTTCAGAAAACAGTGAGGGCAATCTTTTCAGAGTGAGAATTGTAAACTCTTGGAACAATCTGCCAGAGAGCATTGTGACGGCACCGAGTGTGAGCTCATTCGGGGCCAGACTTGACCAACACTGGAGCAAATTTCGATATATTCAGGAGCCAATGCATACCCAGTACTTGCCAACAGTGCGTAACAGAGGCATGACCGACCGCCCAAACGGTTAACGAGCCGGTCAGTGGTGAGAAGGATAAAAGTAAAAGTAATATTGTTTACATGAAAGTCAACTGAAAGTGGGTCCCTGCAACCACCTCTCACATCACTGTGCAGACTTTTATGCTTTGTACGAGATGTACAGTCAATAAAAAACTGTCAGCCACCTTGCCGTGCGTAACAATATGAAACAAAATACAAAAACTGTAAATGTATACCGGCGTCAGTTGGTTCTTATCACTCATTTTCTATTCCACCGATGTTGGGGTGGTCGGTAATTATTTTACTGACTGTACAGTCAACAGCAGAAGTTATCCTGAACTAGCCTCCATGATAAGAGGCAGGTGATTTGGTAAAACTGATTATTCATACTGCCAATGCCAACAAGTATTTTTCATGCTTAATGACAGCATATCTCCCGTTGCTTCAGGAACTACTTAACCACTTACTGGAGTTTGGATGAAATTCAGTAAATCACCTATGTACTTATTTCATAGTTTTGACGTTATTTTTCATAAAATATCAGAATATATAATTGTACATACACATACATACTTGTATATATTTTTAGTACAGTAAAACACACACAACACAGCATCTGATGAGTCAAAATTTGTGCAAAGTCAGTATGGCACCGGATAACCATTAAATTTTTTTAGTATAGTAGTTGGCAAATTCGAGCTAAGTCAGTAGAAGCCGAGTCATTGAGCAGGCTGGCCCACACTGAGCTTCAGTTTGTAGTCAGCCAGCATCAGTTTACATGCGCCTCTCCTCACGGGTAGACCTTCTGGCAGTGATTAAGTGCCCATGAAGTGTTACTGTACAGATATTGTTAAGTGTTGTGTATGCAGTATATAAGTAGTGTAGTTTTAAGTTTATCAGTGCCTGTGAAGTGTTATTGTTATGATATTAAGTGTTCAGTATTGTACATACAGTAGTGTTAAGTTGTCAGAACCATTTTCTGTACAGTACCTGTGAAGTGTTTATCTGCCTCTTACAAGCTCATCAAGAAATTGCCCCTTGCTTAGGTAAATGCTACTATACATGTAACTCTGTTTTTATTTCATTATACTGTACAGTGATATCTCCGTTAGCCGGAACAATTGGTGCAGAGCACTTCTGGGAACGAGAGGACTCTTTCAAAGCCGTAAAAAAAAATCCCTCATCCCCGGAATTTTCCAGGAAACAGAAATATTTGTTCGGAAGCTCTAGAAATTGCCCATTACTTCATCTCTCGAACCCGGAAAAATATCCCTCATCCCCCAAATTTTCTGGGTAACAAAAATTTTCTCGGAAGTTCCAGAAATTGCCCCTTACATCATCACTCAAACCCATAAAAAATCCCTCATCCCCGGAATTTTCCTGGTAACGGAAAAATGTTCTCGGAAGTTCCAAAAATTGCCCACAACATCATCTCTCAAACACGGAAAAAACTGGAGGATGAAGGACAGTTGTCTGGACTGCTAGATGACGGAGGAGATCATGGAACGGTCCCTGGGAAACTAGTGTTGAGTGAGGAGCTGCAAGGAATGGAGAGCTCCGCTCATACACTACATACAAATTGCATACAGTATCTGTATATGCCTGTGTCAGCAACTCAGCGTCTTCTGATGCTATGAAAAATACTTTATTTGAGGATTCTTAAATCGAAGCACTGCTGTACTCGGCAAGGCTGCAGCCCCATTTGTGCCAAGTTATGTTTTTTTAACAATACTGTATGCACATTTTACACACAAAAAAAGAGGAAACTTGTGACAAAAAAGGTGTGTTGTGTTGTGTTATACAGGCAGTCCCCGAGTTAAAAACGCCCGACTTACGAACAGCTGTAGAGTACTTACGAATGGGATCCCAATACTGTATAATATTTGTTACAAAAATCTGTAATTAAATTATATTTTTTACATTACATTACAATACTTTATAATGTTTAACATAACTTTATTTGTTATATATGGGATTTTATTATTGTTTTGTATTACTTTTACTCTTTACTTTTATCCTCTTTGCCACTGATCAGCTCGTTAGCTACTTGGGTGGTCAGTCACGTCTCTGTTACGTACTGTTGGCAGGTACTGGGCATGCACCGGCTCCTGAATGTATCTGAACCTGCTCCAGTGCTGGTCAAGTCTGGTCTTGAAATTGTCTGGGTTGTGTTTTAATCTAACCTAACCTATGGAATTAACACTATTCTGACTTACGAACAGATCATCTTATGAACGTAGATTTACTACACATCATACCGATAACAAAAAAAATCCTGTTTTTACCAGAGTATTCATGAATATAATCATGAATATTTTAATTTGTAATGTACCGTATTCACATTCGTATTCAGAAAAAAAATTGTGTAAGCACATTGGCCATTTGTATTCATAAAAATTTTAAGAACTGTATTTGTACTGTATTCAAATACTGAGTTCCTGTATTCATTCCATCCCTAGGGCAAAAGCCACCTAAGTTCAACTACTGTACAGTACATACAATACAATATTCCAGTCACAGAATTACAATAATTACATCTTCAAATTTTATCAGGCAGAAAAAAATCATGCCAATTTCTACCCTGAAACTCTTGAAAAGGATACCATGCCACTAACTCCAACACCTCCATCTGCTCCTACCTCTTTTTTGTCCACCGCATTTTGTTCATTGTTTGTCTGCGGAGTAGTTTCAGTGGGAACTTTGTCATCGGTATGCTTGCAAAACAAGATACACACATAAAATATTTGGATACTAACTATCCATAAACAGAAACCTTAATCCACTACGGTAATAATAACGATATACAATACAGTATACAGAATTTGAAAATACTGTACAGTAGTTCTCCAACATGCATGAATTTTATACACAATTAACCGGGGGTGTTCAAAACTGTAAAGTAGATCTGAACTATAAAAAACATTTACATTTTCTCAAAACTATTTCAAATATCCCAAGAAAATACGATCCACTATATTCAATGCACTTTCCATACCTCTTTGTCATTGGTTGAGTTTTGTTCAGTGTAAGTGTTGGTGGGTACAGTTTCTTCGGGTACTTGGGTAGTTTCAGGAGGCTTGTAAACAAAAGGTCTTATATTTAGATCCCCATTAATAATTTTACAACCGATACAAAAAACAGGATTGATATCCATCAATATAATAATTATAATAATGTCAGGAATGCACATTATAAGAACCAGAAAGTGAGCACCATTAGTGACAATTACCTAAATGTCAAGGCCTAAAATCCCAAAGGTTTGTACATCAAATCTCTCTCTTAACTAATGATCTGGGGGCACATCTAACTGGCCATAAAGTTGACAACCAATATGGTGTCAAAATTGCACTAAGACTTGACCATATTTTTATACACATTTAGGTAAAAGGGTTTGATGAACAAAAACTTGAAATTATAAACTTTCTTTTGATAGTTCAATACAGGACTTTCTGCTGTTAATCATAATCAAAACTTCAGCTGAACTGTAAACAAGTGGCACACTCTTTGGGGCTTACCTCCTTCTCATCTGGACTCTGTTCCTTATAAGGGCTCTCCTTGTTGGGCTCTTCCTTGGTCAGTGACTTCTTCTCATTTTCATCCTGTTTTGCATCCTGCATTTTCATATAACAAGAAAAATTTTGAGAATTTATTTACATATCCTGCCTTTAGTGTCTACACATAAGGAACGAAAAAAATGGATTTCTACCCAGTACTTTGTCTATCTTAAAAGGAGTATAACAAATATAACAAACCTATTAACAGGACACAAATGATAACATTAAAATTACATTTAAAATATAAACTATGATCTTATGTTCCACTGAAGTTAAATAAATAGCGAGTTTCTACGAATACACAAATCTAAACACAGCTCGTCAATAATGAAACTAAGGCAATCTCTCTCACAAAAAATTAAAAATAAAATAATGATGAAAAATCATATATACTAGAGCATTACCTGGTCCTTCTTCGGTTTCTTGAAGACCTGTGTGATCTGTTCGAAGCGATCCTTCAAGCTAGCAGCGTGGCTAGTGTTTGTCCCTCTTGCACTTTCGGTGTCGCTGCTGAAACAAGCATGCATCAGTAAAAGGTCAGTGTTTGTGGAAGAAAGAAAGGGAATAAGTGGGAGATTGTTGTCTATAATACTCTTTAACAGGGCTGTGGAGTCGGAGTCGGAGTCGAGGAGTCGGAGGAAATTTCGGCTTGTGGAGTCGGAGTCGGTAAAATTGTCCAGACTCCGACTCCGACTGAAGCTATTCTGTTCCTAAGAACAAATATATGAACTCAGGCATATTCATTGCAGTGATTCCACTGATCCCACTAATTTTCTTAAATTATTAAAAGAATTTATTTCCATTTTATAAGCATTATTATGAATTTATTGTAGCAGGCACAGTATAGCACTATAATTTTGGACGATAGTCTCTTCTTTACCATTTGAAATTTTGAATTATATCAAATTTTGTTTCGTTGAAAACTGCACAGAGGCTCTCAGCTACAAAACAATTAGCTACAACCTGTTTTTGGTGAGATTAAGGCAAATTTAATTTAATAACTTAATCATGTAAGGTTTATCCATTTTCCTTAATAAGTTATTCATTTCTTTAATGTACATAAATATATAACTTTACTTTAAAAGGAATTGTAGGATCATCATTTAGATCCACATCAGATTATGAGCTTAAACAAAATTCAAATGCTGAGATCGAACTTTTAGATATACATGTAACTGGTGTTTTCTAGTTAATACAGTGGGGTATGCTATAACGAACGGATCCTACTATGAATATTCCTATAACGAACGGTTTTACCTATAAAATTGAGAATGCTATAACGAACGCAACTCCTACAACGAACGCGGATGAATACCGGACTATTTCGCCTGGCGCATGAATATTGTTGTACCGCGACCCACAACAAGAGCATCAGGCGCCATCTTTGTCTCATTGTGTAGCCAGTGCACCACTGTTATTGTTGAAATTTCGTCTTTTGATGTGGAAATTCGCGTTATTTGTATAACTATTTTGTTATACAAGTATACAATTGTAACAATGAGTCGTCCAAAGCGAGTGAGAAAGCTAATAACCCTTGAAACTAAGAAAGAAATTATAAAGAAACGTGAGAATGGAAGAAGCATTGCGAAACTTAGTGATGAATATGGGATGGCTAAATCGACTATATGTACGATTTTGAAGAATAAAGAGGAGTTAAAAACTGTGCAAGTGGCTAAGGGAATCTTTAGACTTAGCAAAGCAAGGTGTAATGTGATTGAAGAGATGGAAAATTTACTCTTAGTGTGGATAAAGGAGAAAGAAATGGCAGGTGGTAACATTAGTGAAGCTATAATTTGTGAGAAGGCTAAACAATTGTTTGAGGACCTTAAAGCCAAGACTCCCAGTGGAAGTGATAGTGATGTGCCAGTGTTTAGGGGTACCTGCATGCTGAATAACACTAAGGTAAGATAAAGTACCGTATTTTTTACATTTTCCACAGAATTTTTTCAGTGTTAAGCGGTTGTATTTGGGGGCCTGGAACGGATTAATCCTATAACGAACGAATGCTATAATGAACGAGATTCTGGAACCAATTACGTTCGTTATAGCATACCCCACTGTATCTTGAATTCTTAATAAATTTATTTTTCTTTTGATTGAAACTTTGAAAGTCAAGCCTATCATCTTTTTGTAGTTCTTAAATATCGTCCAGATCATTAATAAAGCTGTAGCAGTATAGCCACGGTGTTTTACTTTTTACCTATGCAGGTTACAACATACAAATTACAATTAGGATGGTAGAAATAGTTGTTACAAATAGGCCAAGGAGTCGGAGTCGGAAGCATAAAAATTTGAGGAGTCGGAGT